TAGAATTGTTATAAAGTTCTTGCATGCCCAAATAAGAATCAGTGTATCTCTTATCAAATTTTGGGGCAGCAACAATAACCAAAATGATAGGAGAAATTGTGTCACCCAGGGGTGGAAGATTAACTAATGCTCCAACATTTCTCAGAGTAATGGACATTGGGCTATGTGGGAAGATAAAAGTATTATATTTAGAAGACGAAAAAGCTCAAAGCAATAGGGAAAAGTACATGATCATAGATTGGGGGACGGAGAGTGATTACTAAATCAGAAATCCCAAAACTATTATATTCAGAAAATCAAAAGCTCAAAGCAATAGGGAAAAACATAGGATCATAGATTGGGGAACGGAGAGCGATTTCTAATAAATCAGAAATCCCAGCACAATTAAAAATTGCATTGGTAGGGCCATGATTTGTCATACGTACATGTCAAAGGTGGAAAGTAATATCAATTTTGGGCCAAGTACGAATACCTTTTTCACGGATTGGCTTTAGTGGAAAATGGTTCAAAAAATGAGGATCTTGAGTGTAAGGGAACAATTGGCCCACCACTGCTTGCCCAACAGAATCAACGTCATTAAATGATGGGCTCAAGTAGAACTTGTGGAGATCAGGATTGGCTGGTAAAAGGGAAGCTGGATTTATATGCGGTTTGGTGAAAAGCTTTTGGAAGTCTTCAAAATTAAGGGATTTGTCTGAAGAGCTCTTTGAAGTCGCCATTTACGAGGTTTTGGGAGTGTAAGTATTTGTAGTAGAGAAGTAAGAAGATGAACAGTGATCCTTACAGGTAAAAAGAAACGCGGCGACCCAGAACGTGGATATAATGGCGAGATGAAGTGGCGTGCTCTTTTGTTTATAGGAGTTGCGTGATATTGCACTTTTCGAGATGTAGATGGTCACTTCCAAACATAATAATGATTGAGATTCTCTGCCCTTTTTGGATTTCAAGCATCTTGGAAAAATATAAAGGATGAATATGTCATAAGATTAATAATTGATATTAATTTTATATATTGGGGGGTAATTGTTGACATACAAAAATGAGGTTCAATTAAATGGTCCAAAGAATGAAGCCTAGTTGGAAAATTAGAAGGATGGGCCCAAATGAGACCATGTAAAAACCCAAGATGAAGTTATGTAGTGGAGGCCCATCATCGCTCAAGTCTGGGAAACGCCCAAGATCTGGGCGAGTATAGTGTCTTGAACGGTTATTGAAATAATTCATTCCACAATCCAAGAATCTTGGTTGCAAGCAGTTAAATGATGGAAGTAATTGCAGCAGTTTAAAATGGTAGTTTTTTTTTGACAAGTCATCTACTATGAAGAAAGTGGGTAGTTACAGGGCGATGAACAATTTTCAAACGGTTCTACAAGAAAAACTGTCAAAAGCGTATAAAAAAGAAAAGAGAACATAGAAGAAAATAGATATAAAATAACTCTCAAACTAAGAATTATGTAATTTCATTTATTTCTTCTTGTTAACTTTCAATTACTTTGCAAATTTAGTGTGCTTGTGCCTCTTAGAGGCATATCGCTTGAAGGATAATGAAGCTTTTATGAATTCTTAATCTCATTTTGACCATCATTCCTTCTATAATATGATGAATGGTAGTCGGTAGTTTATCATTTCATTTCAAGTCAAGTTGCATTAGTTTATAAGTTATCCTTGTACTAGTTGATGGGATAGAACACTATGCAAGAAGCATGGTTTGTAATCTATATCATTG